ATCGAAACCCGGTTTCTAGAGTTGTAAGTCCGTAGACATACCGCTGTGCCACTGGAGGGCATTATTTTAAGTTCATATTTTATACACTCGTGCTGCATTATGCAGCATAACAGTATGAAGTTTGTTTGACAATTCATAACACGAGCTATTCCCCACTAAATCAGCTATAACATGGCTTAAGAAGGGGGATTTTTGAACCCATTCGTATGTGTTAATAATAATAAGCCAAAAGTGTGCAACAGAAAATAGTTTACATTGCTAAGCAAACATTCATATCTATAAGTTTATATTTCTTTCTTTTTCTTTTTTTTAGAATCGCTTAAAAACTTCTATTCGGAAGTTAAATATATCATTCATAGATAGTTTTCAAACACAAGACAGAGATGGCGCTTTTGTACTTTCAATGTAACCATCACGTGTAACAATTCATAGATACAGTCTGTCCTCGCGTTAGGGTCGTTAGGGTTACGGAATTTCGCCCATACAGAAATTTTAATGCGTGACCAATAAGTTCGGGTACGAAACCGTAAATTCACCTTGATGGAATTTTGGGTTAAATATAAAAAAAAATGTAAACACAAACTGAAAAAAAAAACAATTTGCCAAAAATCGTTTGTTTTTTTTAATGAGGAGCACATTTCCAAGCGTCGGTGATGTAGGTGACGCGCTTTGTTCAAATCAGCAAACGCTTCTGTTAGGATCGTCATGTGGTCACGCTGTTGTTCTTTGCATTATACTCAAGATGTTTGGAAAGAAGCCATCATGTTCAAATACAAGTAGTACACCCAAAAGAGCACGGAAAGGAATTAGTTTGGACTATAAACTTGATGTTTTGAAGAGGTTTGATGCCAGAGAGGAACTATTGCTAAAAAGTAAAAGTAAAACTTTAGGGCTTTGCTACCTCTACACTCAGACTACAGTGGGAACAATAGGTTATAATAAAGAAAAAATCAAGGGAAGTGCTAAAGTAGCTACACCTCTAAGTGCTCGTACATTATATTTTCATAGAAGTGAAGTGATGCCTAATATGGAAAGGCTCCTGAGTGTGTGGATTGAGTACCAGATCCAACGTAATGTGTAATTAAGCACGATGGTTATATAAGCTAGAGCAAAGAGTTTGTATGATGATTTTGTGACTGAAAAAGTAGTAGTGGTAGTTCTGGAGAAAAACCCTTTCTGGCAAGTAAAGGGTGGTGTGATAGGTTCAAGAAGCGCTTTAACTTGCACAACATAAAACCAAGTGGTGAGGCTGCCGAAGATAACCTAGTGAACTCAAGAAAATTAATGATGCATGGGGTTACAGTCCAGAACAAGTCTTCAATGTAGATGAAACTGGACTGTTCTGGAAATGCATGCCAGATAGAGCATTTATTTTTAGGGAAAAGAAGTCTGCTTCGAAGATTATCTGACTTTATTTGTGGGTGGCAATGCTGCTTGAGATTTTAAATTGAAGCCCTTACTAGTGTACAGTTTTAAACGCCAAGGGCTCTAAAGGGATATGTTAAGCCTAATTTACCAGTGATCTGGCACTCAAATAAGAAGGCTTGGATGACTTTTAAGTATTGTTACGTCT